GAAAACTGTTGTGGAAGTTCCTCAGATTACTAAAATTGGAGCTGCCATATGAACCAGCAATTCCACTTCTACATATCTACCCAAAGGACACAAAAACATTAACTGAAAAGGATACCTGCAACCCATGTTTCCTGCTGTACTATTTATAACAGTTAAGACTTGGAAACAATTCAAATGCCAAAAAATAGATGACTGGATCAAGAAGATATTGTACATATACACAATGGAATACTATTTAGTAAAAAAAAAAAAAAAAAAAATCTTATGCCACTCATGACAACATGAATGGAGTTAGAAGGGATGATGCTCAGTGAAGTAAGTCAGAAAGAAAAAGAAAATTATCGGATGGTTTCACTTATAGGATCAGGGGGAAAATAATTTAAAAAAATAATGTGAGACATTTTACAGGGGTGTAGTGGGGAATGGAATCAATAATGGGGCGGAGGGAAGGGCACTGAACTATGGTGATGGCACACGAGTGATTTGGTGATGGGAAGCCCATAGGGATTACAACTAAGATGGAAAAAGGTACAAAATGATGTAAAAATAAACAATGAAACAAAACTAAACAAAATAATCAGACAACTATAAATCAGAGATATTCTTCAGGGGAGAGGGACAACAGAAATTCTATGAAAACTATACCTGATGTAAAATATAGACAAATAAAGAAATTAAATAAAAAACATTTAAGTTTTTTTTTAAAAAATTAGAAATGTGAGCAACACAATGAAATGACCACTAAGAAATTTTAAGACACCTTCTTTTCCCATTTTCTTTTTACTTAATTTTTGAACAACATGTGATTTCTTCCCTCAGGTTGGTCACCATTGCTCTCCTACCACCAAAACACTCAGTCTTTCACCACATTCCCTGTGCTCTTCCCACCCCTGTTGTCACTAATATTTCAGGATACTTTGGTATACATTAGCAACTGTTTTTCGATTTTTTAAGGTTGCATGTTTTTATATCACTTCATAACTTAAATTTATAGTTCAAAAGCACATGACTCCTCCAGTAACTTACTTTTCTCGATTTTGAGTATACTACAGTAGTAAGCTGACAAAACAGGAATGTTCATATGCAGTTTAAAGTAAGTCACACACTTTACCTGTAAACCAGAACCATTAACTTTAAATATCTGCATTTTTTAATCAAATATGTAACACTAGTAACAATCAAAGCAAGGTTTTACTTATAAAAAGGGAAATAACATTCAAAACAAGTTTTTAAATAAACATTTGCTATAACTTGATATTTCACCTATAAATCCTTAAATTTAATAAATGAATTCATCTATTGAATCATTTAACAAATTATTAAGCATAGTACATGTTAGGCACTATTCTAGGTATGACACAGAAATCTCCACCTTTATGGAGCTTAAGTTCCACGACAGGAAAAGAGACAGTAATAAGCAAAAAACATGTTTTAGTAAGTTCTATCCAAAAAAAAAAGAGGTGTGGATGACATGAAGGGTGACTGTGTTTTATGTGGAATAAAAGACCTCTCAACAGTGACATTTCAACAGTATCTCAATAAAATTCAATAGCAAGATGTAGAGAAAACTCTGGAGGTAAGATCCGAATGCAGAAAACAGTAAATATCAAGGCCCTGAAGAGAATGTACACTTGTGATGTTCACTAATACTGAGAGAGGCATTTGGTATAGTGGAGAATATGGAAGAGTGTATGACAGAAGCCCAGAGATTCACAGACCCCTCATTTTCAAGACTCCTTCCAGACCTTGAGAAGATCTCTATCGAATCAGTTCACATAGTCACATGACTTGGCAAACCTTGCAAAAGTAAAGTATTTTAACCACAGATGGTTAAGATCACTTTTACTTTATGTTCTTACTTCTCTGTCACACATGCCCTCACACTAAATAGTTCTGGGGTAGCCACAGCATTTTGGGATACAACTTACAAAAGTTGAGTTGGGATAACTTTAACAAGATATATTTATTAATTCACCTTCTAGTTGTCTCCAGACAACGAGGTAATTGGCTGCTAGTGGCCCAATGCAGGTATGGCTTCCAGGAAAATTCTACAATACAGGGCATCAACTCACCATGTTATAACACTATGGTGAAGAAGAACTAAAGGCTTATTGACATATGGGGATGCCTGTAGTGCCCAACTCTGAAAATACATGGGTATCTAAAAGAAACTATTTGAAATACACAGAATCATTACGTAGACTGCCAGCAGTTCTACCAATCATCAGACATATAAAAGTAGTAAGCAGGGGATTTGATTTTTATCAAGAATTGATCAAAAAGGAAGTTGTCTACTGTTAAAAGAATAATACAACTCTAATTATAATAAATGCACCAAAACTTTGATTTTAATTCCTCCATGAAAATTATACTGCAGAAAATCTGTCAGATTTCTATGTTTGTGAAGCACTAACCTGTAGCAGCAATTAAAACAGAGGTAAATCTTTGTACAAAATCAAATGGTCTTAACCATTCCAACCCCCAAAATTGTAAAAACATTTCAACAGTAATGAAAGAGGAAAGAATTATTTTTCTAATAACTCCCCATCATAGATTATAAAAACATCATATAAAGAAACAGTCTGTAACCAATAAATCAAAAAAAGTATGTTAAACAGTAATTTAACAAAAATATTGTGTAATTTTTCTGTATTTGTGCTAGGTGTGATATTTATCACATCTTTTAAGATTTAAAAGTAAGTCATAATTGGAAGTGAATTTTCAATGCATAGGTTAAGAGGAGTATTAAAAACAAAAAGAGATGAGTTAACTATAAGATAAGTCTTAAAAGGCAAGTAGAGGCCCTCCCTCCCTAGTGGCGCAGTGGGTTAAAGCACAGCACTAAGAAGCTAAAGCCACTTCCACATGAGTTCGATCCCCACACTGGAGGTGACCACATGGCTCGGCAGACCTCTTCCACCCACTGCTCCCCTCAGCAGTGTACTTCAACAATCTGCCTGTTCTGCTTCCCACTGTCTCTGGTGAAGCCTCTCACGGCCCCTGCACCTCTGGTTTGTAACCCCAGTTCTGTAAGTACAAATAAATAAATTTTTTTTAAAAGACATCTAGAATTTAGCATAAAAAGAGAAAAAAATGAAGAAAAATGCTCAACAGCAATTAGAGAAAACGCAGAAAAAAATAAGGTTTACCATAAGTCTAATAATAGATGCTCCAGAATAAAAAAAAAAATACAGTGATGGAAAGAAGCACAATCCAAAGAAAGAATGGATAAAAATTTAATTCTAAATCTAACCATTTGTACTCCACTTGAAAAACTGAACCTAGACTATGTAAAAATAAGTCTACATATCATGATGAAACCAATATACAAAATACAATTCTTCAGAATACCACAAAAACAATGGAGAAAAAATGAAAGATTACCAAAAATATAGAAACAACCTCCAAAAGAATCTATATAGAACAAAGGATTAACATCTATAAGCACTAAAGTAAAATAACTGTTAAACAAGAATTTTTCAGCCAGCAAAATTATTTTTATAATTGATTAATTGATTAATAATTGATTAAATAATTGATTAATAATTGATTTAATACTTGCTATATGTCAGGCGCTATTTAGGTGCTCATTATACCTAAATAGCCCCTCATTTCATAGAACTTACAGTTCTTTCAAGAAAGAATGAGACAAAAAATATCCATTAGTCTCTGCTCTCTTGTTATACTTAGATTTCCATCTCATTGCAATTAGAAGATCTCAAAATAGCTAATTTTCTGCATTATTTTAAGTAACGTATTACTTTTGCATATTCTAAGTATTCCTAATCTATACATGAACAATTTTTAATAAAGCATCATGAAATATTCAAAGAGGTATGTAACTCAAAAAAAAGACAGAACCATTTTCTTCTGACTCTTTCCACCCAGAATAATTTGGTGCTACTATCATGGCTCCCACAATACCCTGTAATTCATATTTCAGTCCTTTCAAGACAATATTGCTTCAGCTTTGGCTTCTACACTACAGTAAACACCTTAATAACAAGGCCCTCTTTCTTGCCTAGCAGTATGTAATAAAGTAACTGACATAACAGAGAGCAAAAATTTAAATATTTAGTAACTGAAATGAGTTGCTAAATAGAATTCTGATATACCCCCTTGTTAAGGAATTTAAGAACCTATTCTTAGGTTAATAATTAGTAACCATTTCTCAGTCAAATTTTTAAATTTTACCTATCAATTCTATTAAACAAATTGAGATTTTAGTATGTTCCTAGTAAGGATTTAATAATAAAAATTGTGCAAACTTAATTATCTATTTAACCATGAAAAATAAATATTAGGCCAGAGGTAGCACCAATGCTGTGCTGACAGCACATATGACATATGTGCAAATTCTTAAATTTGCTTTACCATAAAAATGGCTAAAAACAAAGTATGAGATGAAATGAAAAATACATAAAAAGATATACACAAGGCCCTCCCTGGTGGCACAGTGGGTTAAAGCACAGTACTAAGAAGCTAAAGCCACTTCAACATGAGTTCGATCCCCGCCCTAGAGGTGATCCACAAGGTGCGGCAGACCTCTCCTGACCTACCCACTGCTCCCCTCAGCAGTGTTCTTCATCAGTCGGCCTGTTCTGTTCCCCACTCTTTCTCTGGTGAATCCTCTCACTGTCCCTGCACATCTAGCCTGTACCGCAGTTCTGAATATATAATCTTAAAAAAAAAAAGACATATACAATTGAGGAATATAATGTGTCGAAGATGAAAATATAAGTTTTAAAATAAGGTCATGAATGGCACAGAGCAGTGATTCACTACCCTTCTGAAATAAGTGAAATTCAGTCATTTATGACAGGAATAAACTAGATGACATTAAAGCTCCTTTACACATTTAAATCTGCCCTTTAAAACACAAACAGAAAATATTCTCAAACTTAAGTCACTTTCTTTTTTTTGTTAAGGGAACTGAATTTTTTAAAAAAGGTTTAAAAAGCACATAGGAAAACCTCAAAAGAAAATACATATATACTTACCAAGTTGGCCATGTAAATTGTAAGCAGCCCTCTCCTGCAAATAATTTCAAAAGAGAGAAAAAGTGAGATTAAGCATAAATTAAACTTAATAATCACTTCATCTTTGTCTACAAATATATCAAAACAATCACGAATTGAGAAAAAAGGGATAAGTGAACCAAGATTTAAGGTATTCTAACGGAATTAAAGAGACTACAAGTCACTTTTTAGTGGTCATTAAAAATTATGTTTGGTTGTCAATAATAAAATTCTTTTAAATTACTACTATCTATTAAATGCCAACTGAAATTAATGTGTTGATCATTTTATCACCTGAAACTAACATACGTCATATGTCATTAGGTAGGTAAAAATTACTTATTATTTACTATAATTACTACAATAGACTTAACAGTCTGCATTTATGCAAGAGAATATAAAGTTAATAAAGTCAATAAAGAATCCTAACTAATTAACCTTGCCAAAATGTCAGGATCAGAAAAATTCTAACTAAATGTATACTGATTCCAAAAATATCACATTTTCTATTGTTTAACACATACTGCAAGTGTTCATTATATGTAATTATAAATTAAGTAAAATTAAGTACTAAATGAACTTTCTAATATCAAAAGACTAACAATAATACTATAACTTAACAGAAAAATTGATTATTTACCAAAATTACTTTATGAGAGTTCGGGTCGAAATTGAAAAATAAGGACAGTTTTCTCCCCCTACTTTACTCATATACTGCATGAGAACATATATAAATCACATCTTATTCTGCAGAAAAGAGGCCTTTAATCTTTTAAGAGTATAAGGGTGGTGTTTCAATAAACTGAAAATTATAAAAATTATTACTGAAATTTCAAATAAACACTTTCAGCATTCAGAGGGAAAAAATGCATATAAATCAAATACCACTATTAAATCACTTTCACTTAAAAATCATGCCAGATCTTGATATTAACATTGCCAATGAAATCTTCTTGGTGTGATTCAGCCGTGCATACTATTGATTGTACATCACATAAAAAATCTCTGAGATTTTTAATATCACTAAAGCCACATGGAGGCAGTATGATTTAAGTGAAAAACACTGAAGTGAATTTAGGAATTCAGGGTTCCAGTTAACTTTAAAAGTACTCTATAATTTTGTTATTTAAATGAGGAAACAAAACTACTTGTCTGATTTTATTTTTAACCACAAAAAAAAAAACTATTTAGTAAAACACATTTATCACTAAGCTAGAAAGCATAATATTGGACTTCCTCCAGTTGAAAGAGGAAAGAGGGCTATATACCAATCAAGTCATAGCTGACTCCAGGCAAACTACCTCTTCAGAAGATTCTAATTTACCTCAAAAATAGAATTCTGCTCCTCCACATAGGAATTTTAAAATTAATGATAAGATGATCTGCAAGTCACCTTTTATCTTGTTTCTATGATTTGCACATGTGAATTCAAATTATTCTAAGCCTTACCAAACTTACCAGTTCCTACCAAATTTTAAATCAAAGATAATTCTAATAGTATTTATATTATATAAATTATACAAAGAAATTATCAGGTAACATAAACTTCAAAGAGTCACACATACACAGAAAAAGTTAAATAATTCTCAAGCAATACCTATTTTACCAAAAGTTAGTTACACAGAAAGAAAAATACACACCTACAAAAAAAACAAAAGAAAAATATTTCGGTAATAACTTTAGTGATAGGGCCTAAAAATACATTTTATTATGAAGTGTACTCATATATCAACTTTTAAAGCATCTGTTCCACTAGTCTAATTCTGCCTCTAGTATTAAATAGTATAGCTCCAAGGCCCTCCCTGGTGGCGCAAAGGGTTAAAACCCAGAGCTACAAAGCTAAGGGCAGCCACTTCAGCATGAGTTTGATCCCCAGCCAAGGAGCCTTTCCACATGGCGTGGCAGACCTCTCCTGACCAGCCTGCTGCTCCCCTCAGCAGTGTACTTTGATGATCTGCCTGTTCTGCTCCTCACTCTGTATCTGGTGAATCTTCTCACAGCCCCTGCGTCCCCAGCTCTTATATGCATAAATAAATCTTTAATAAAAAAAAGTACAGCACCAGTATCATCACTAACTTCCATCTCTCTGATAATAAAATGCTTATTTAACTACAAGCCAAAAGATTATCTCATTTACTTTTACATTTGCACAAATCTGAAAGAGCACCTGGGATCTAATAAGCATAATTCCCTACATGGCTGTGGAATTACATCACAGAGAACCCACTTTTATTTAAAAAAATAAAATAAATGCCACATTATAGACATACATTACAGACTGAAAGTCACTAAACAGAGGCAAGGCCAGTTAACAATATTGTAGCACCAGCAAAACGCAGAGCAGGTTTTCTACGGATTTGGACAGACAGGTAAAGGAAGTCGTGGAGCCCTCAGTGGCTATGTCAGGCTTTTAATCTTTCTACACCATTTATAGCAAGGCAACCAGGAGCAGGGCAGGCAGGGAGGCCAAGAAGCCCTGAAAGGCTGGGAGGTCTCCTAGCCCAGGGCCAATCATCACTCTTTCTCGGCTACTCTGCCACCTCCCATCCTCTGCCGCCACCCTTAATGCTAGGTCTCTAGGCTCAGGTGGGCCCACACGTGCTCTCACACTCACCCACTCCACACTCTAGGTGCTGCCATCAGGCCTGCGTGTGAGACCACAGATATCAATCGTTGATGTTAATGGCGGGAAAGCAGAAAAAAAATTCCACTTAGCCTACAAATATCAAGCAAAACTGATCAAATTGCCTTATATTTGTATAAATTTAACAATTGACAAGGTCTAATCAATACTATGAAATTAGAGTTCATCCTCTCAACAGTTACCTATGAAGAGCTAGAGATACTGTTACCTTCATTCTGTTAAAAAAAAAAAGTCAGAGAAGATAAGTGGTTTCCTTACAAATATTAAAGCATCAAAAAAACATATCAAAAAGCCCAGTTAGGGGTCAGTTAACCTGGCTTCTTTCCAATGCACTGCTTCCATAGAAGAAAATCATTACTAATTTACCATTAAACTCTGCAATTCACCCACTTAAATGGTGGCCTACCAGGTTTCTATGATTTAAGAACAAAATCTTCATGTTGCTGGGAAAATGCAAAAGGTGTATTGTTATTAAACTATGTCCTATTCTAATCTGAAGTTTCAAATTATTGTTCCCAAATAAAGATGAGGAAGAGCACTTCCTCCCCAGATTTATCTGATTTCAAACCAAAAGCTCAAGAATAAGAGGACATTTTATGTGAGATAATATTATACATTGCAGCTCATTGTCAGATTCTTTTGGGTAGCTTTTCCTGATACAGTATCTTCAAGCTATCTAGCCTAATAAGTCTAAAGACAAACAGATCACTCCCTTCCTAATAATTTCTCTAATAAATTACCTCCTAGTAAATTCTCTCGGGAAACCAAGTTACATATTAAAACACTAGTACAACAGTGATGGGGAAGAGGGAATGTGCCAATTAGAACAAAAGGTAGTTTATGCCAAAAGAGTTAAGAGTAAGGTCAAGAAGTATAAGATTTTTTTTTAACTCCTGATATAAAAATACTCAAATTCTAGTGTGAATCACTAGGTAAGAACATTGGTAAAACTCAGTGAAAAATTAAAATACACTTAATGTATCTTTAAACCACAAATAAGCTTATTTTTTGAAAGGGAAGAAGGCATTACTCTCTTAAGCCTTGTATGTAAATGAATATACACATCAAGGGTTACTACCTAAAAAAGGCATTAATAAACACTGTTGTAAGAACAAACCGTGCAATAAGAACATCATTATTCATACTGGAAAATAATAAAAAAAAATTAAATTTCCCTACCATTTTAGTAGAATAAAAAGAATCCTTGTCTTGTGCTGAAATTCCAAGTTTTATTATTACCTAATAACATTGTTGTGTCTAAAAAAGATGACCAATAGTGCTTTCTTCCTGGAAACTTTAGATATATTCTTAAGCTAACCTCAGCTTTGAATAATACTGATTGTAACACATACCATAGTTAAGGTTACTAAAAAGTGCAGTAGTATAAGAGCAACTTATAAACATTTACATATATATATATGCATATATTATTTCTAAATGTTCATCCAAATACTCAAGTATATTCACATATATATGTATATAAGATGTACATATGTGTTCTACAGATAAGAAAAAAAATTAAGTGACTGTTTCTAGACATTCAGATGATTTACTACACAATGCTCTTTAATCATCTTGGAAAATCTTTCAAAAAATAACAGATTTTCATCTGTGAGAATGTTTAAGAAGAATATTAAAATACTTCCTTAAGGAGATGCAAATTAAAACCACAATAAGATAACACCTCACCCCAGTGAGAATGGCATCTCTTAAAACAACTAGCAACAGGCCCTCCCTGGTGGCGCAGCGGGTTAGAGCACAGCACTCAGAAGCTAAAGCCACTTC